AGTCGTTCACGAAAACGTGGGAAGGGAGATACGACGGGACCGGTTTTAGACGCGGTCTCCGGAGAAAATAAACACTGTGGGGTCGTCAAGGTTACGCACGCCTTCGTAGTTAACCTTATCTATAACGTAGGTGTGTTGTCCTATGCACTCTACGCACTCTATTATCGATTTATAAGCCACGAGGCTCACGTGACACAACTGGCAGCGGATGTCAGCTCGTCTTCGCCCTACTTCGATTCCGTGGCTTCCGAGGACTTAGCGAATATGTCGCAAGAAATTTGTATTATTGCACCTCTCACAGAGTGTATACGAGGGCGCGTTTAGATGTGCGGGTGGATCTAGACGAAAGATTCGCGCTTGTTCGGCAACGCGTAGACAGGAAAGTTCTCATCGAGTTTACCGGAAAGATATAACCGTAATGTGAATAAGGATATATCATGAATTGTGATATTATTCTGAATCGCTATCGAGAAACTGTTGCGCAAATGTTGCAACTATACGCGGGCAGGATGCGTACTATGTTCGTTCGACACTGATTGCACCCAATGAATCCGATTCTCACCTCCGCGCGTATTACAGGGACGTGATAATCGATTTTGTCTGACGGTTTTCCTGACGGAATACTATCAGCGCACGACGTACAATAGATGTCGTCAGTCCACGATCGTATTACGGCGCGAACTCGTTTGCACAAGATTTGAAAGAGGTTCATCAGATTTCTTTCCCGGAAATGAGCAATATGCTCGGATCTGAAAGTTCGTAGAGATCGTCGGTATGTTCCGCTAAGAACAATAGGTAACAGTTATGGCATTCCTCGCAGTCGCGTACACTCGGTAATATTGTGGTTATACTCGTATTACACCGAGCGCAACGGATGATGTCAGGACGGTTTCCGATGAGCACACCGTGTGCTTCAAAAACAGTGCAATAACGCTCGATGTCTATCTCGTACATACAATACGAACAATAGACTCTATTATCTCCGTAACGTTGATATCCCGATACTTTGCGACAACGGCCTAAATTATATTTCTGCCAGTGGTCGAAATTCGCGGTCAGGTAAATGATTGAACCATTCAACGGATGTTGTCGAACTCGAATACACATTTATTTTACTCCAAGGTAATTACAGGAGGGGCAGGTAATGTCTTACATATAAGTTTTTCTTGATATACGCGATATCGCGGGTCGGTCTCTGACAATGTCACTGTGTAATACCAGTGAGTGGTATTTACGGGGATTAGCNTTTCCCACTTTCGGATTTTGAGATTTAGATCTACCCTTTCGTTACTAATTATCACGGGGTATCCAACGTCGGCGCTAGGCGGCTGGTGCAACGTGCTTTCCACCCACTTGATCACTCGACGCCACCTTTGTTTCTGCCAGCCCGCACGGTTACCGCGTTTGTTCTTTGGCATCTACGGTTTAACACGAATTTAAGGAACGCGCTTGTCGCGATTATTATTATGCACTCACTTTATTATTATTCCTGGAATAAAATGATTAGTATCGTACCTTGAGTGAATGCGCCGTTCGGGCGCGTTTTTGCTCTTGGTAGACAAGGACTGAACTAGACGCGGGCCCTTCCAATATGGCGGAACCCACGCTTAGACAGAGACAGAGAGAGACGCGGCGTCCTCCAATATGGCGGAACCCACGCTTCGACCGCGTGGTGACGCCGTGAGAATTGGTAGTTGGAAGGATCCTCAAGATTCGCCGTTCGGGCGCTTCTTTCGGGACAGGTAACGAGATGCGCTGTTTAACGAGCGCGTCTACGCAAGGAATTAGGAGTATAAACTTTTGCACAACACACAAATGNCTCAATAATCAATATCTCAGTTGAGTATAATAATGAGTATATATTCTGAATATTATATTATACAATCGATGCTTTTGACTTTACTCAAGTGCGAACAATAGGCTGAATACTTGAGTTTTAATACAGCATGCAAACGTTAAAATTTATCCTTAATTATTACTCGAATTTTATAAAGAATACTTGAGAATAAGGTGATAATATAAAGGTAATATTAGTAGCGACTTACGTTTATTTGTAGTTTACTCCTAACGCTGGATTTCTTAGGAGGTAGAGAAAAGGACCCGTGAATGCGGGATGGACTCGACGGCTTCGGTCGAGATGCGAGACTTGAGAGAGAATTGGAAGTCGACTGTACTGGACCACGGCTCGAACTACACAGGACTGAACTCGGCTCCGGAATGACAGAGAAGGGCCAGCTCGCTAGGAGAAGCAGTGGAAGGGTCTGTTTGCCCGAGAGTGGGATCCGAAGGCGGAGTCGTCCGGGTAGGGATGAAGCTTATGCGTGGTTTGAAAGTTAGGTTGTGACCGGGGTTCTTTGGAAAATATGCTGTGTACTCACAGTAATCACGGTCGCCAGTCCGTTTATCCTCCAACGGACAAGGTTTAATTCTTTTTCTTTCTGTTTCAGGTCCCGACGCCGTTCCGGANGTNNCCAGGATNCTNNNACGGNTCTCCAGGATTTTTNCACGGATCAGGATTCCTCGGACGGATGAAGGATGCACCAGGTATGTATTAACACAATAACACTTTTATTTTATTATAACTGTCTATATATATGTATTTATTTCTCTTTCAGGAAATATTACAAACACAGCACCTTCGCTCGATACGTCACTATCAATAAATTGTATTTCGCAAACTTACTAAATACAAAATGTACCGTAAACGAGTTTATTCACGCTTTTATATGCTCGCGTTACGCTGCGTGTACCGTGCGTCGCGAGCGCCTGAATCCAACTGACTTCTCACGCAGGTTCGCTCGTGTCTCGCGCCTGCGCTCTCCCCACTCCGGGTTTTTGTGTATCATCTTTAAGGAATGATTTTGGTGTTTTTGTCATGTGTGTATAATTGTTGTTTGGGTGNTTGAATGTGGTGTCTTAACTTTATGTTTTTGTGTGAATGTATGTATTAAGGGTTAAATGTGTGGGTGTGTGAACCGGTATGAATGCAGAGTATGATTGATGTGTGTTAGAGTTCTTAAGGGTGTGTGTTTAAAAGCTGTGTGTGTACGTATTCGTAAGTATGTGAGTCTAAGTGTGTGTATTAACGTGATTGAATGTGTGCGTGAGAATTGATGTATGCTGTGGGTGTGTTTGGAACCGGTATTGTCCCTTATGGGTGTNAGTTTTATGTTTGATGTATGTCGTCCTTAAGGTGTGTAAATGTTTGTGTGTGTTTGACGAATGCGTGTGGTTTGAATGACGTGTATATTTGTCCTTAATGTGTGTCTGTGTGTGTATGTTTGAGTGGGGGGAAAACTCTTCCTTAACAACCCAACTTACGCCTTAACGCAAAACGAACACACCATTGCCTTTTGTGCCCGTTACTCATTAAGTTTAACACAAAACTAACTCTTAACCTTACCCTAGGTGTAAACAAAACAAAACTGAATACTAACGTAAAATACACACCTTGCTGGCCTTACGTCTCACTGATCTTAACAAAAAATAAAATACTTTTTCTTAACACTAATCTTTAGCTTCTTGTCACATTAAAANCAAAACGGACCTTAACTAACATCACCCGTCCCGTTGGTCTCACACCTCACTAGGCTTAACAAAAAACATAAAATTTTTTCTTAATCTCAACTTTTGGCTTTGCCGTACCTATATATAACAAAACTTAAAAAATTAAAACTCCACCTTACTTAAAACTAGCCACTCCGTTGGCTTTGCGCCTTACAGGCCTTAACAAAAATCACAATACACTTNCTTAATACTAAAGTTTCGTTATTGTCTCTATGCTCTCCACACCATTCCTCGCGGCTTCTTGCTGGATCTCCACCAACTCTTCTTCTGGCGCTGGCTTCTCCCGCTGTTCCACTGGCTGTGGCTCCTCCTTTCGCTCAGGTGTCCCCTCCTTTCCTGGCTGGGACCCCTCCTGGGGCCCTGGTGACAAGGTCGCGTTCATGCGTGTGCGGCAGAATGGATCTAAGGGAAAGTTGTCCGGAAGGATCGCTGTAATTGGTCACTTTGGATCTAACAAAATTACGTATATGTATGACTTGCTAACCTTAACTTATACTATATTATGCACGTACGACGTGCCGCAACTCACAAGATATGGAATACATGTATATGTATGCGCATGCGTTACCTTACAAAAAATTATAAGTCAAAAATGTGGCGCGGACGTAACACCGTCAAGCCATTCGATACCGTGATAAATTCGTGTAAGCCAATCGTTGCATTGTTTTGATTTTTGTGGTAATTCGGTAAACGAGAACGGAGGCATCAAGATCCAGTTTCCGAAAATTGGTCGGTCTAGCGCGACATACGCCACTTCTTTTGGAATAAATTCACACACGACGCCGCGAAATCCTTGCATTTCTATGATCACAGCACCTTTATACTCGGACATCGTGAAAACGAAGCGAAGATATNGGAGACTAGAACGAAACTGAAATTTCTCCACGCTGCGACAAAAGGCGTAGAAAAATGGGAAAATGTAGTGGGGGAAAATTATCTTGTTTTACGCATGTGCGGGAATATGATTATCCGTTATAATCAACAATGATTTGGCGCGAAGAATCGATTTCCAAAACACTGTCGAANTCCGCATAAACAAGACAGTTAATAGTCGTTTCGAGAGCTTTTTCGAACCGTGCTTCAAATCGCAAACTACCGTGCTTCACAAGATTCCAATGGTCGACGCAATTGGCCGATAAATCGGGTGTGAGATCAAAAGCGAAGAGTGTGTATCCGTGTGCATAAGCATCTCTGCTTATAACATTGCCTTCGTTTAGAAAATGAATACCCGTTCGGAGAAAAGAGTATGAAAAGCCTTGATGTAGAAAGGAGAGTCTCTTGAAAAAAAAGGTTGTAACGGTCTAGTAGGAACTTGCATTCCATCGACGTAAAGCGACAGGAAATTTCTATTAAAGTTTTTAAAATTAAACGGATTAAGTTTACTATCGCCGTTAAACGCCTTATTTTTGACAAAACCGATTACCACCAGCTTCGGCAGTTGTCCGAGTATGGCGTTGTCAATTGATTCCCCCATCACTCCTCTATGGATTGTAAACGATTTAACTTCAACTCTCGTGAGAGGATACTTTGCAGTGGTTTTGCTCAGCATTTTAGCGTGAGCTAATAAAACTCCAGCGCTTAGTTTTGCTCTCCTCATGATCAAGGTGGCGTCTACAATACGAACTCTTGTCTGTGGCGTAGATTCCATGAGACAGAAAGAATCCGTCGATTGGAGGAGTCTTAGGCGCATTTCCACGCCATTAATCAAGAATTTATCCTGATTGAAAACGTCGCAATGTAGATGTACTATGAGATCCACAGCACGGTTATTTTTGAAATACTGCATNCGTCTCACGAGAGCGGGGTTCTCATTTGGAGCATTGAAGCCATCATCCATCAGCCCCGGAGGATCGCTATCCCATAAACAGGTGGTGAGATGAGAGGATTTTGCTTCTGAAGAATAATTCAACAATGTCTCGAAATAGGCTCGATACGCGTAAGCATTGTTCGGAGGCGACACAAGCTTTTGATTGAAATACACATCAATTTGATTGAACATGGAATGTAAAAAGTTATTTACAGGCCCTACTTTATGTTCTGCAGCAGCAGAAGCCGAAGTAGACGGAGTAACCGCTGCGGGGGTTTGCAATATCACGCGACGACTGAGAAGTGTATGCGCGAGATCTATGTAATCTTCACCATGTCCCGGTACAACAAACTCCATGGGAGCGTCGTCCGCAAGAGTCGACAAAGGTTTGTANTGAATCCATTGCGAACTCTCGATACTGATCTGCGTAGGCGGTAGAGTGAAAAGATCAAGTTCGCTTTTGAAACACTCACACGAGTGAGTATGGAGAAAAAACATTTTGCTTCGTCTACGAGAATATATCGCTCACGGTTCGTTTCTTGCTCACGCGGCGTTTGCTAGTTTTTGTCGCG